ATCTATAATGTATTTTTTGTATGTAAGTGTGAGACATTGACTTATAAAAAAGAAGACTTGGGGCCATGAAGATAGCTCAGTGGTCTAAGTGCCTGCGGAGGCAAGTATAAGGACTGGGGTTGATGGCTATTACCACATGCCCTGCCCTGAGCATGCTAAACCAGCCACTGAGATGGGCGTGGTGGTACATGCCTGTAGTCCGAGTGCTGAGGAGGCTGAAACGGGAGAATCACTATGAGTCTGAGCTGCGTAGTGAGACCCTGTATCAAATGCATTTTTTAAAAAAAATGAGATTTGCTTTCTCACTTATAACAGCATCATTTAAGTCCAGAGGTGCTCAGAAGAAACTCACCCTTCAGAGGAAGATGTGATTGCTGGTACAGTAGACCTGTGCCTTGTCTTCTGTGACTGGCTCACTGCTGCCCTTTCTTGCTGAGGAACAAACAAGCAGTCAGGATACTGAACCATGATCATGACTTTTCAAGATACTAGAAGGACACTTATAGAACCAGAGATTATGGTTTAGTGGGTTAGAGTCATCTCTGACAGCTGCAACAGGAATCCCTAGAGAGGGCGTGTCCTGATTGGAGAGGTGCAGAGGAAAGGAATCTCAAAGTGAAGGCACAGTTCATATGTTGACCCAAGACTGAGAGTGCCCCTTGGGTTCCTCTCCACATATGAATCCATAAATGCCACACTGGCTGGCACAACCCTTCTCAAGATGCCAAGCAGGTTCCTGCCATCAGTGCTGATCTAGAAGCTAAGGTTGGAGTACCATTGCACTTCTAAGTCAACTATTTTAATAAATGGATTACCAGTTGCTAAAAAAAAATAAAGTAAAAGTGGGGCTGAAGATAATAGCTTAGTATTATAGAGTGTTTACGTAACCTGTGTAAGACCCTGACTTTCATCTCTAGCATCCCAAATCAAGAGACTGACATACCAAAGAGTTGTGTGATGCATGGAGTGGTAGAAAGTCACACAAGAGAATCTTGGCAAAACTGGAAATATGC